GGCGAGGGCATTTTGGAAGTGGCTAGACCTACATTAGGCTCAGTGGATAACATGCTGAGCTTGTCGATCAGAAAGGTCGTCAGTTCAGCTGTTCAAATCCCTAGCGCCGCATAATGGAGTGAGCTCCCATGACTCGTCCCAGCTTCTGCCAACCTAGCAATTCGAAAGCAGGTTAAAAAATGCAAGTAGAAAAATAGGAACCACTTTTGGTGGGAAGGGAACAGCGTTCCGTGCGCCTTTGGCGTTGAGTCATGCTGGCCACATGACCACGGAGATGTCTTCGGACAGCGCTGACTCTTCGGCTTTGAAACGGAGATGAGCACCGCCCCCTAGAGTCGAGAACAGCTAGCACAGATGTGCAAGGGGGACCTTTACCCTTACGATTACCTTAGAACTACATTTCCCATGCACCCTGTTGCAATGGAAACTCCACCCACAGCTGGAAAGAGCAGAGAAATTGAAGGAGTGCTGTCCTGTTTTTTTAAAATAAAATTAACCTTCCTTTTTTCTTCTCCCCCCTCCCTTTTCTTGCCTCTGCTCTTTCCTGTGCTGTAGGTGGCTGTTTCATTGACAGTCCTTACTGCCAACCACTTGACGTGACGCCTTTTATAATTCACTTGGGGCCTCAGGAATTCTTCTCTGACTTCTAAAAGCAAAGTGAGACTGCCCAGCTCCAAAGGTGCTTTTTCCCACCCGTGAATTTTCAAAGCAAGAGCTAACGGAGACTCACTCGGAGGGAGGGAAGGGGCAGTTTGTATCGAATATTTTAAAATCCTCGGACTTCCTCCAGCACCCCAAAAGCAATAGGCCACCTCCCCCTGCCCCCCACCCTCCCCCCAATCCTGGCTCTTGAAAACCACAGCAATAGTTGTATGATAGAGGGGCGTCTTCCGTCGGCCTCCTTTTTATGCTTTACACTATGGATCAGGTCTTGGTTCAGCAGTAAGCCTCCCATCCTGTTGAATCTAGCTAGCTCAGGGGTCAGCAACCCACCGCTCTGGAGCTGCATGTGGCTCTTTCATCCATCTGCTGTCACTCCCTGTCTCCGGTCGGCTCCATAATTGATAGGGCTTTCAGTTAGGACAGGCAGAGGAAAAAGGATGCCACACTAGGAGGAGACTCTATGGTGGGGGAACCAGACTGCTAGTCAGCTCCGGAATTGAAGGGGGAGCTTCTGTTTAGGACCTTTGTGGCTCTTTTGAGTGTTTAACCCTTGAGCTAGCTAAATGCCCCTATGAGCTCAGAAGGACACAAATGGATGTTTCGGAGGCACATGGGATGTTTTGGAGGGGATCCGCAATAACCTCAACATTCCTGGCTGGCGGAAACTAGCTTGAACAGAGCGCCTTCTGCGACTTGAATTGCCCGAAAGAGCAAATCTCTGTGAGATGGGCTATTTTGAGTGATCATCATTCGATGACGTCCAATCGGGAGATGGACTTAGGAAGCCCCAATTGTCCGAGAAAAAGTGAGGTGAGGATTTTGCCAGAAAGACGAGACAACCCGGAGCTCGTACCGACTTTGCAAAAGGGCGGTGGGCTTGGGGAACCAGGAGGGTTGTAGCAAGAAGGTAGGGAGGGCGAACCAAGAAGGTGGAAGTCCTTGTGATGGGCTCCTTTTGTTGACTCTGTGGGAGACGGTGCCCCTGGATTGTGCCTTCACTACCAAAAGTCGGGTAAACTTCTACCCGTGATTGTTTTTGAAGCAATTGTGTTTTCGATGCCCCCGGAGACATTTGTGTGTAAAATAAGCCAGAAGGTAGAAGTCACGGAGAATGGAAAGGATGAGCAGCTAAGCACTAGAGATCTCTTTCTGTTCCTGCATTTTTGCTATCTTGCAACCTCTTCATACTTAATGCCAGTTTTTGTTTTTTTCCCTCTGTGTCCTTCTCAATGAAATGTGATGTAAATATTTACGGGGACATGCTTCATTCTGCAAAGGCTTTCTCAGATTTTCTTTTTTGTGGGGGTGGGTGGGGAGGAGAATATATTTATTTATTGGGATAAAAGACCAAAGGGAGTTGTATCTTGACTTTCCAACTGTTTTATTAGCAAGTCTTAACAGGGATATCGGGGCAGGGATGTTCTTTATGTGATTTAAAATGCAGAAGTTAGTGGTGGGAATGTCTTCTTGAGTTAGGATAGGACTAAGTTGTCTGAGTAGCATCCAGGACTGGTTTTTCCAGAGTTGGGTGCTTCTGCAGGCGAGCTACCTGAATTCTCAGCCATCAAGAGAAAAGGTTTTGGAGATTTGGACCAGGGAGTCAAGTTTGCATGAGTTGGTCCAGCGTCTACCATGTTTCCCCGAAAATAAGACAGGGTCTTATTTTATTTTGACCCCCGAAATAAGCCGATGGCCTTATTTTCGGGGAGGTCTTATTATTTTTGAGGTCCAAGAGGCAGTGAGCGTGGTCACCGCATGGCTGCTGCTGTGTTGCAACATTTTCGGGGCGGGCTTATTTTTTTGGGAGGGCTTATTTTAGCACATGCGCTCAAAAGTCCGATTGGGCTTATTATCCAGGGAGGGCTTATTTTCGGGGACACAGGGTACTTCTTGGTCCAAGTTGAGGTGCCGCCTTTGGCTAATGGAAGCGAAGGTGGGAGGGAGAAGAGGTTGGTGACGCCATCCGTGGTCCCTGCTGTCCAGTTTGACACCAACACGTTAGCATGAAGAACAGAAGAGGACAACCCATTCCTACATGCTTCCAACTGAGACCTTCATGTTTTCACAATCAATAATTAAAAATGGATCTCCCAACTATGACAGGCTGATCTTTTTCCTTTCTTTCAAAGATATACCTTAAAGCTTTCAAAAAAAATATCGGTGGACATCCAGCTGTAAATAGAACCAATGAATTCTCGGGGCTGATTTGAAACCAATTCCTTCTTGGGGCTGATTGACAGGTGGCCGTTGAGAAAGAGCTGTGGGGAAAGAGTTTTTAATAACACGGAGAGAAGCCGGTGTCAGTTTGGGGTTCAGGCTTAAAACTTGGAATCCAGAACAAAAAAGTGTGAGTTTCTAGTCATTCGAGGTGTGTGTGTGTGTTGATGGATGGTTCATTAAGGAGGTCTAAAAATGGATCCATGGACTCTGTCTTTTGGTAATGTCCGCAAGCAACATCTGCCCACATCTGCCTGAGAAGAAAGAACATCACTTGCTGTGGAAAACCACATGGTTCCCCCCCCCCTAAATTTATCACTTGTTGCTTATATGTACACTGAGAGCTTATGCACTGAAGACAAAATCCTTCTGTGTCCAATTACACTTGGCCTGCCTATCATAAATCCATCTATCTATNTGTGCCGATTACCACTGGAATTACCACTGTGGTAATCGGCACACTGGATGCTATTCCAAAAGCATTATTATTGTTGTTGTTGTTGTTGTTGTTATTATTATTCCCGTGTTTCCCTGGAAATAAGACCAGGTTGTATATTAATTTTTGCCCCCAAAGATGCATTACCATTTATTTTCCACTTACCGTATTTTTCAGAGTATAAGACGCACCAAGATTTTGAAGAGGTAAATTAATAAAAAAACAGTTGTTGCACTCTGCAGGCTTCCCAAACCCACTGCCCACCTCATTTTTTGTGAAAAATGGGGCATGCAGAGAGTTTGAGAAGCCTGCAAAGTGCTCCTGGGGGCTTTGCCCCCCCCAAACGAGCAAAAAATGGGCCATTTTTCATGAAAATGGGCCCATTTTGTTGCATAAAACAGGCCATGCATAGCCTTTAGGAGCCTTGTAGAGTGCTCCTGGGGGCTGCGGGAAAAACGAGCCAAAAAAAGACCTGTTTTTTGCTTGTTTTTGCCCTCCCCAGCCCCCAAGAGCACTTTGCAGGCCTCCCAAATCCTCTATATGTCCATTTTTGCAAAGGGGCCAAAAATGCTGTATTCAGTGTATAAGATACACCCAGATTATTTTCGAGTTACCGTATTTTTTGGAGTATAAGATACACCAAGATTTTCACCCTCTTTTGGGGGGGGAAGTGTGTCTTATACTCTGAAAAATATGGTAGGTCTTATTTTCTGTGAAATACGGTACTAAATGCATCCGTCTGGCTGACAATCTTAACTGGGGCTTATTTGGGGGTTAAAGCTTATATTATGAGAATCCTGAAAAAGCACGCTAGCCTTTATTTTCTGGTTGAGACTTATTTTCGGGGAAACAGGGTATTAATATTATTGATTATTGATCAGCGACTTCTATCCCCTGGAGGCTTTTAAGAAGATATTGGACAGCCGTTTTGTCTGTAATGGGATAGGATCTCCTGCCTGAGCACAGAAGGTTGGACTAGAAGACCTCCAAGGTCCCTTCCAACTTCGTTATTTTGAGGGCAACCTCCTTGTGCTTCCCCTTTCGAGATGAAGCAACAACTCCCCAACGTGGCCATCCTTTCGGTTTTGTGTTAAAAAGAAGGCAAGGTGGTGAAGCTTTTTCTGGCCCAAGAGAGCCAGATCCCAGGGTCGCTTCGGCGCAGCTCCCTCCTGCATACCTGCTTGTAGTCCCCAATGATGGAGCTGTTCTTCTTGATCTCTGACTCAGCCTTGTCCAGTTCCCTCCGGCACATTTCTTTCAGCTGTAAGATGACAGAAAGGCCGGTCGTTCATTCATCCCTCCGCCAGGGTCTCTGAGCTCACCCCCCCTTTCCTCTCACTAACCCCCCAAAAAAACCATTTGTTGTGGCCCGCCACGGAGCTGGTGGTAGACTCAGACAGTGAGGAGATTGGGGAGGATCCTGGGCCAGTCCTAGAGGCTGGGGAAGGCTCTGAGGAGGGCTCTGTGTCGGAGGCAGAGAGCGGGCTAGGGCCGTCCGACAGTTATCAGCTGCCTTCAGAGTCAGACATCAGTGAGGCATAAGAACAACTGGAGCCTGTTCCCAGTATGCGCATGCGCAGAGCTGCCAGACGAAGGGAAGAGCTAAAGAACAGGGGTCGACTTGGGAGTAAAGCCACAGGTGGAGGGTGAATGCCTAACCCTGACTTGGATGACTGAGGATCTCCATAGATGTCACATGCTGAACTGCAGGAAGAATGGCCTAAAACCAGAACTGGAGCTATTCCCTCCTGCCTCCCGCCTGCCCGGCTCCCTCCCACTCCAGCCCGATCCTGTCCCAACCTGCGCTGATTCCTCCTCCAGCCTTCTTTTTTCATCCTCGGCATCGATCAGCTTCTGCTTGGTCATCAAGAGCTCCTTGTTCAGCGCATCAGCTTTTTCTTCCGCCTGGAAAGAGAAATGCCAATGGACAAAGGACCGGGATGAGAATTAACCGTTGGAAGCGAGAGGGAAACTTTGCTTGGCTTTTAAGCAGACATTCCACCCACAAGCAAGCGAGAGAGGAGGAGACTGGGAAGGGGAACTTTTAAGAATCAAGCTTGAGGTTTGGGTCCCTGTTGGCTCCCTGGCAAGATTTTAAGAGAATCGAGAGTAGCGATAGGAGCGATGCGGTGGCCTAGAGGGGGAGCTCTCGCTTCACCATCAGGAGGCTGGGAGTTTGATCCTAAGGAGAGGCAGATATTTCTCTCTCCAGACACACTGAGAATATATCTGCTGGAACAAAACTCCGCACTGGCAACAGGAAGGGCGTCTGGCCATTTAAAACACACTCCAAGTCAGTTGCCCGATTCCACTTCGCAATGGTCTTATGGCAGGGATGGCTAACCTTTTTTGCCATCGCGTGCCAAAAGTGGGGGGAGAACGGGGGCCTTTCTAGGAGCCTGGGGAGGGCAGAAACAGCCTTCCCCCCACCCCAGAGGCAGAAAACAGCCCATTTGCCGACTTCTGGTTTTGACCGGAAGGCTTAGTTTTCACTCTCCCCAGGACCAGGAAATCCTGCTTTCTAGCTAATATAAATCGTGCGTCACACAGCTGATTGTCGGAAAAAACGGCAGCATTTTTTTTTTTACTACCAGTTTGGGCAAACGGGTAGCATTCCACCCCTGGTTTTAAGCAATAAAGGGGCAGTTTGAACTCCCAGCTGTTTGTGTTATCTCTTTGCNACAAATAGTCTGAAAAACAGCTTCTATCCCAGGCCAGTAACTATGTTGAATTCTACCGTATAGTGCAATATTAATGCAATATCAGGGGTTTTCAATTTCAATTGTATAGAATGCGAAGGATGTGCATTTGTGTTTCGTTTTTATAGTTATAATGTACACTGAAGACGGCATTTAATTTCATTTTACGATGTGCAGTGACAATAACACTAAACTCTAAACTAAATTAAACTAATAAAAACACGGACAAATAGGCTGAAAAACAGCTTCTATCCCAGGCCAGTAACTATATTGAATTCTACGGTATAGTGCAATATGAATGCAATATCAGGGGTTTTCAATTCAATTGTGTAGAATGCGAAGGATGTGTGTTTTGTGTTTTATTTTTATAGTTAACAATGTACACATTTAATTTTGTACGAGGTGCAATGACAATAAAGTTAACTAACCTGCGATGGGCGTGCTGGTGGGGTCTTGTGGAAGAGCCAAGCACACAGGCACCATCTCTGCATGTAGATTTGACCCCTGGTACCTGCAACGGGGAACGTGGTCCCCAACATCCGGAGAGCTGCTGGCTTCACCCCCGTGAACGCAGATCCTTCCTCTTAACTCAAGGGAAGGCGGCCTCCTACCATTTTCTCGGGGGAGGGAAGGCTGTGCGTGTGAAATAAAAACCACCAGAGGTAACGATACCGTTTTACTAAGTTTATAGATCAATCCAAAATGCTACACACGGCAACTATTCTACCACAAGGTCCACACTTTTTTGTGTTTTTTTTTATTATCAATGGAGTTACAGTAATATTGTAAGGTTTTGTTTTTTTCCCCCCTCGTTATTATTAAACAAGAAAGATACTCATGTATACAGTTTAAGGGAGGGGGGAGAAATCGTGAATGCTGGGGGATGGGGGCGATGGCTTCACCTCTTATATCTCAGTTTGCGTCAGCTAGCATTAAGGGTCTGGTCGAAGAGGAGGGGGGAAAAAGAACTCGGAAATAAAAATCGTCTTTATATACAAAAACAGTGCCTCTGAGGGGTTACCGGCTTACGCTCACACACACTGCACACAGTTAAGTTCATCATCTGATTAAACAAAAAAGAAAAAGCTATTTCAGCATAGGATAAATCAGTATAAATAAAAAGGTGCTCAAAAAAAAAGGAAAAAAAACCTATTTCATTGTTCAGCTTTTCTGGTGTGAGGTTTGGATGCTCCAACTTTCGGCGACTTTTGGACTTTAACTCCCAGAATTCCTCAGCCAAGAAATCCTGGGAGTTGGAAGCCCACAAGCCTTAAAACCTTCCCAAGGATGGAGAATTCTGCTCTAAAGCCTCCAGAAATCTTAAGTAGCGTTATTACCTACTTGTGTAGTTACAAAAACTAGGGAGTGTTAACGGCGAACCTGGCCCTCAACGAGTCAGGGCCCGAAAGTGAGTTTAGCAGCAGCAACAGTGGTCAAAAGAACCCGAAGCACCCTCCGTTTCCCGGGGCTGTTTGTATCTCCTCCCGTCTATTTTCTGTCGGCGGGAAACTCGCCAATGGAGAGAAAAGCAAAATGGAAGCCAACGATTCTAGTGTCGAGAGCCGAGCGGCTGTTTCGCAGTGGATGAACCGGGGTCCCCAATCTGAACCGGCGGCAAAGGGGAGGAGACTTCCACACTTCCTCGACTTCCACTGAAGGGGAGCCCTAGAGCAAGCTCCGAGGATTGGGTTGCAAGCACACAAACACGAGCCGCCCGCCTGCGCGGGTATATAAAACGGACCCTGATATGGTGTTTGTTGAATCTCAGCTTTCGTTCTCCTGGGGGGGGGGGGGAGAGAGGAGGAGTTGCCTTAAGAGGCCCCCACCCCGCTGAGTTGCATAGAAGTTATTTCATGACGGAGAACTAAGCGCTGGACAGACAGACAGACAGAGAGAAAGAGACCGGGGGAGGGGGGAATGGGACACACACACACACACAGATTCGGGAGTAGGGCATGTGAGTCCCGTTTTCCAAATGTTAAACCATGCAAGCCCCTACTTGGAGGGAGTTGGGAAACCTTTCTTTTCGCTCGCGCTCTTTCGCGAGAAGGGTCGAAACTTTTTTTTTTTTGTTAAAAAGAGTGGCGGAGGGCATTGGGTGGGTTGGTGGCGGTTTTGGTTCTCCTTTTGTCCCTCTCGAGTGATGACATCTTTTTAAAAAGTTGTAGCTGTAAGAAGAGAACAAAAAACAAACAAAAAAGCACTCGTTTTGTAAACTCGGTTAAGTTAGAAGAAGGCGGTCAAATCTTCGTACCCAGCACCTGCGGAATGCAGCGGATCGCCGTTCTTCTGGGAAAAGAAAGGAGGGGGGGGGGGAAAGCATCTGTCTACAGCTACACTCCCCCTCCCCGGTTAAATAATCAGTAGTTTGAAGAACCCTCATCTTGTTACAAGCCGGCTTCGGTCTCCGGCCTGGGGGGGGGGGACCCCGCCGCCGTGCGGTGTGTTTCGGGAGTCCTATATACAATCTGGTCCTCTCGCCTGCAGGCAGCCAGCCAAGACAAGCTCTGGAAGGCAGAAGGTCTCTCAGGGGAGGCCCCGGGAGGACCCCCACCCAAGGTTGCTGTCCAGCTTCTTCAGCACGTCTCTTTGCCTTGGACGCCGGTCACTGTCTTTATAGAGCTCAGCGTTCGGTTGAACCAGGTTTTGCGCGAGGCCTGCACCTCGTTCAGCGCCTGTCCCAGGTCGTGCTCCAGGTCCTGCAAGGGAACGAGAGTGGAGGGCATGAGCGCGGTGAAAAAAAGAAAAAGGAGTGGGGGGGGGGGGAGAACCTGACATGCCCTGGTTTGTGAAATGGATCTGCTGATGGCGTAGGAGATGCTTCCAAATCACCTGTTCAGTAAAAAGGTAAAGGTTTCCCCGCACATGCATGCTAGTCGTTCCCGGCTCTAAAGGCCGGTGCTCATCTCCGTTTCAAAGCTGAAGAGCCAGCGCTGTCTGAAGACGTTTCTGTGGTCATGTGGCCGGCATGACTAAATGCCCGTAGGTACACGGAACGCTATTCCCTTCCCACCAAAGGTGGTCCCTATTTTCCTACTTGCATTTTTAACATGCTTTTGAACTGCTAGGTTGGCAGAAGCTGGGACGAGTCACGGGAGCTCACTCCGTTACGCGGCGCTAGGGATTCGAACCGCTGAACTGCTGACCTTTCTGGTCAACAAGCTCAGTGTCTTAGTCACTGAGCTACCTTGTCCCTGTTCAGTAAGGGAATTCATTTAGGTACTATATTTGTCGGACTATAAGGCTCACCGGGCTATAAGACACACCTAAATTAACAGAAGGAAAACAAGAAGNAACTGAACTTCCGGTCAACTAGGAGGAGACTCTATGGTGGGGGACCTGAACTTCCGGTCAGCCACGAGGAGACTCTATGGTGGGGGAACTGAACTTCCGGTCAGCCAGGAGGATACTCTATGGTGGGGAAACTGAACTTCCGGTCAGCTACGAGGAGACTCTATGGTGGGGGAACTGAACTTCCGGTCAACTAGGAGGAGACTCTATGGTGGGGGAACCGAGTTTCCGGTCAGCCCCAGAATTGAACAGGGGGCTTCCGGTTGGGACCTTTGTGGCTCCCGGTGTTTTCTTTTTTGTGGCAAACGGGTCCAAATGGCTCTTTGGAGTGTTTAAGTTTGCCGACCCCTGACTTAGTGCAATATTTAAAAAATGCAAAAATGTTTCTGCAGGGCACCAATTTTTTTCTCGTGGATCACCAGTGGTCCACGGACCACCGGTTGGTGACCGCTGCTTTCTAGAGGGCAAAAAATCTTGCACGAAATTTGCGAGCCAAGAGAACCTCGGCCTCTCTCGGCCTCCCCCAACCCGTTTCCTGATTCGATTCTTTCCGGCAACCCACGGAAGGACCCGGAGCAAGGAAGATCCCAGGAATATCAGCAAGCCCATGCTTCCCAGCCCTCCCTCCTCCTTCAGCCTCTTGGTAGCTCCTTGGACACGAGGCTGAAAAACGATTCCAATCCCCAAGAGATTCAGATCTAGGCTGCCTCAGCTCTGACTGTCTCATGGCTAAAGAGCCCGGCAGGAAGGATGTGACTTGGGCCAGAAAATGGTAATACTCACTTTTAACAGTCCAAGTGCGACGTTAAAAATAACACTGATGCCCTGTAAAAGAAAAGAGAAGGAAGAAAAGAAACCTAAATGTCCACAGGTTTAACAGACTAACAGAGATGGAAGGGACCTTGTAGGTCATCTAGTCCAACCCCCCAGCCAAGAAGGCGACCTTACACCTTTTCTGACAAATGGCAGTCCAGTCCAGGTAGGTAGGTAGGAGGAAAGGAAGGAAATAAAGATAGGAAGGAAGGAAAGAGAGAAAGAAGATAGGTAGAAAGGAAGAAAATAGAAAGATAGGAAGGAAAGAGGGAGGGAGGAGAAAGATAGAAAGGAAAGAAAGATAGGAAGGAAGGAAGGAAGGAAGGAAGGAAGGAAGGAAGGAAAGAAAGAAGATAGGTAGGTAGGTAGAAAGGAAAAAGGAACGAAGGAGGGAAGAAGGAAAGAAAGATAGGAAGGAAGGAAAGAGAAAGATAGGAAGGAGGAGGAAGGAAGGAAGGAAAAAAGAAAGAAAGAAGATAGGTAGATAGATATGAAGGAGAAAAGGAAGGAAGGAAGAAAAGAGAAAAATAAGAAGGAAGGAGAGAGGGAGGGAGGGGGGAAGGAAAGAAAGATAGGAAGGAAGACAAGAGATAGGAAGGACAGAGAGAGGCGGGAAGGAAGGATAGGAAGATAGGAAGGAACAAAGGAAGGAGGAAGGAAAGAGGAAGGAAGGAAGGAGAAAGATAGGAAGGAAGGAGAGAGGGAGGAAGGAGAAAGGAAAGAAAGATAGGAAGGAAGGAGGGAGGGGAAAGGAAGGAGGGATAGGAAGAAAGGGAGGAAGGAGGAAGGAAAGAAAGATAGGAAGGAAGGAAGGAAGGAAGGAGAAAGATAGGAAGGAAAGAGGGAGGGAGGGTGGAGGAAGAAAAGGAAGACAGGAAGGAAGGAAACCTTGACAGATCCAGGTGTGCTTAGATGCCCTCACCCCTCCTTTCCCACTTCCAAACCTGGCCACAAGCATGAAACCCTTCCCAGTTCCCCCGGGGGAGGAGGAGGTGTGTGTGTTTGTGTGTCTTGGGAGCCAGGGCCAGCTCCGGCCGATGGTGGGTGGGTGGGCACACATACCTCACACAGGAGCAGGTCGATGATGTGGAAGACCATGTAGAGAGGGAACTTTGCGGTGAAAAGGGTGAGGAACCACTGGGATGCATACATGTGAGCTTCTAAGTTGATCTCCAGGAAGTGGCTGTAGAGATCGGGGATGTACTCCTGGAAGAGAAACAGGGGGGACACTGAGAAACGTTGGTCTGAATGCTGGCGGGATACCAAAATATGGGAAGTCCTTGACTTACGCCCGCGACGGAGCCCAACCCTTCCTGTTGCTAACATTTATAAGCGAGTTGGCCCCGTCTTACGACCTTCCTTGCCACCGTTGTTCAGTGAATCGCTGCAGGGGGCAAAATTAGTCAAACGCTGCTGCGAGGGGAATTCGGCTTCCCCATTGAATTTGGTTGGAAGATCGCAAAAAAGGGGGATAGTACAGTATGGGATAGACTAGAATAGAATAATATAGGAATAGGATAGAAATAGGATAGAAATAGAATAGAATTAGAATAGAATAAAATTAGAATAGAATTAGAATAGAATTAGAATAGAATTAGAATAGAATTAGAATAGAATTAGAATAGAATTAGAATAATATAGGAATCAGGTAGAATTAGAATTAGAATA